TTCTCCACTTTAAAACCTTCCAAAGCTTATAGATTTTTAAGATTCTTTTAAGTTGTTGCATATAACTGTAATGCATTAATTTTCATTTCTATATAATATTCCATTGTGTGCCTGTACCGTAATTAAGTTATCCATTCTGCTGATAGAGATATGGGTTGTTTCTGATCTGGGGCTCTTGCAAACAAAGCTGCTAGGAACCTTCTTATGTCTGGCTCCTGATACTCACATGTATGTGTTTCTGTACGGTGGAGACCTAGCATTATAGTAGCTGTTGTTGCACATTATGCAAAGACAACAGAATTCACCAAAGAGTTACACTAGAATTTATGAAATTAGATAGTGGAACTATATTTTTTAAAAGCAAAGAAAAGAGTATCAGAAAGAAAGTGATTACCATGAGGAGGGAAGCAGAGGCTGTGGTTAGGATGGTGGGGGCATGGGGGGTAGGGGGGCGCTTCTGAGGTGCTGATCTAGTTCTTAACCTAGATGATGTTTATTTTAGAATCATTTGTTAAAATGTGCATTTGCATTTTATGTATTCATCTGCATGGTTGCTACATTTCATGCTAAAAGTAGCCACCACCTCTAATACAGATACCCCCAAAAAAGTTGAAATAAACACTAGAAGTCAGTGCAGGGGCTTTTTGTCAGCTCTCTGACCTTAACCTCTACTCTAGCATCAATGGTACATGGTAATTTAGATAACTGTCCCACAACTGTTGGGTTATTGTAAGTTTTAAAAGAGATCATGTATAAAGGATTTAGCCCAAAGATCTCAATAAATGTTAGTTACAAGGTACCCCAGCTTGCTTACTTTTCTCAAAGTAGCTGAGAGCATTACTATTACTATCATTCCTAAGTTATACTTAGTCCTAATTTCACACTCCACAAAGTATTATTAGTCCTAATTTGCATTAAGGAATATGAGCTCAAAGAGTTTAAGACATCTGGTCAGGTTCTCAGAGCCAAGGAAATTGGAATTTGAATTTAGTTTTTTGCTCCAACTTTCTCCTCTGTGAGAGGTAAAAATGACAAGGAAATTCAAAAAAAGGCCTCCAGAGGAAGCAGTTTAATAGATACAATGTGGACAAGTGGACAGTTTTGGAAGGGCTAGAAGTATAGACACTGGAAACAAGTGTTGCAAGTTCAGAAAACTTTCTGGTGAAAGTGTCAGAAACAGCAAAGCAGGGGAGTCACAGGAGCCCTGGATGAGGACCCAGGAAGAGCGAGGAAGAGAAGCAGTTTTAGAAAGCTCTGGGCACTGTGACATTCAAAGAGGAAGAGAAATGCCAAAGGATCTGGCGAGCAAGTGAGCGGCGGAGGACGCAAACCAGAAGAGGTTCTAGTGGAGGCCCCTGAGAACTTCCCGGGAAAGGCCCAGGCAGACAGGCCAGGCAGCGTGGGACCCCATGGCCTCATGGCTGTAGACATAGAATAGAGTAGCTCAGATGTAGTGGGGCGGGGGGTGGGGGGGTTGCTTTTTGTTTTCCCCAGCTGTGGTAGAGCGAGTAGCTGGAGTGGCCTGTGAAGGAATGGGAACAGGGATTGCTTTAAGAGATGGCCCGTAGTGATAAGCATGCCTATTGACTAAGAACAATAGGCTGCTTTTTCATTCTACTAAAACATGTTGTAATTTTGAATATGCTCCCTCATCCCCAAATTATTTTAGTCCCTGCCCATCTACCTGGAAAGTCTGACCTGCTTCATGTGGAAGTGGGTCCTAATCTGAGCACCTTAGCCTCCCCCTCCACACACTGGGACCCTTATACACAAGGAGGAAAGTGGAGTGTCAGCATGGAGAACAGGTGGGCATTGGGTGGGCAGAGAAGCCAGGGAAGACACAGATGGGAAGGGTGGGCTGACCACCTGGACGAGGAGGGTGGTGAGAGTAAACTGACACAGGCTCTGCCTGTCTTCACCTGGTGTGTACACATCTTTTAGGCAGAGGTGGGAAATACAGAGCAAACCAACAGGCGGGTGTTTTTTTGGCCCTGCACAAGGAAAGGTGTTGGAGAGAAGGAAGGAGGAAAAGGTCAGATCCCAGCCACCAAGTATACACGGTCCAAGTGCAGCGAACCTGCTTCTGTTTCGTACACTCAGTCCTTTTACACCTAAGTAATGAAGAGCCCAGATTAATGAGATCTGGATACAGGGATGAGGCTAGATGAATAGGTACAAAAGAATGAATAGAACCAGTTGGCATGGCACTGCCACCTTGCGTTGAGCTACCTGATTTCTCTAAGAACCAGTATTTTACTACCTGATTTCACAGGGGTAGTAATTTTTTCATTGTCTAGTCTTTATATGTGCCATAGATTTTAGATAATGTGAACAGTGTAAGTAACCTTGTACTCCTTTCTACCTGCATTCTGTTAGTCCTAGGTGTTTATTTGACCAAGTCAGTGTAATATCCAATCTTACTTAGATGATTTAAGGGTAATTTCTGGGTTAGGATTAAGGAGATTGATAAAAATGTGAAAAAGTTATAGTGTCTGTCTCAGTGTTGTCTTTTTCTACCTTTTACAGAAAAGATATGGAATTCTTTTCCTTTCTGAGATGGGTTTGTTTATTAACCCAACTGAGATCACAGGGGACATTTTTCATTGCTGCATCTGGAAAAGTTCCAACACTGAGTCATACATGGTTACTTTAGAAACTATATGTAGCCTGAATTAAGGAGCAGTAAACTGCTATCCAGTTTTTAAAAAGAAGCATCTCCAATCATGAAGAACAGAATAATGTATATATGAGTAAAGAATCAAATTGACTTTGTTCTCTTTAAAAAAAAATCAGCCTGAGCAGAAAGTCTTTTGTTCTGCGGGGTAACAGCAACTTGTTCTTGGTGGTGGTTACCATTCAAGCCTGATACCTTTTTTGGCCCCTTATAAAGCAAGGATCTTACGGGCACCTAGACCTAGATAAAGGAAGAAAGAACACAGCAATGGCCCTCCCACCAGAGGTGCATGAATCCCTTAAAACTATGCATACTTCTTTAGCCTTCCTAAAACCACCTATTTCATACATTGTACATCTAACAATTTTCTCGACTCATCCTATTATTCTCTTCAGAAGGAAAGCAAGAAAATATTATATTCTAAAACTCATTTTTTGCAAGAACAACCACTGCCACCAGGAAATGCAGGAAAACAGAGGGTTATAAGTTCAGGCCCAGCGTCTGCTGCTTCCTGCCTGCAGGGCCCATGGAGAGCACAGGGCTGGGAGAGAGCTAGTTCCCTCCATTCTTCCTCTTGGTGTTGGGACTCTCAGCCTCTCTCTGAGCCTCCAACTATCCCAGAAGATAGTGAAGTCATGAGTGTCACCCTGGTCCCCCAGCTGGACGACACAGGAATGCTGTACTACACGCATGAACTCCTTGAAGTAGACATACCACGTCACTGCCTCTCATCAGCCTCTCAGGATATTCACAGGGAACCTGGCTTGATACAAGCACTTGCTCCAAACTGCAAAATGATAGGTGAAATATATGCAGATTTAGAATTGAAGTAACTTTTTCCCATGATTTATTGTGTAATCCTAGGAGAGAATAAAACTTTAAAAAGTAAAGTTTGTGTGGATGGGGTCCTAACACTACCATACTCCTATTCCTTTCTGCTCTTGCTTCCTTACTTTCCTGAGAATGAAAACACTGGGGATTGAGGAAAAAGACATCTGAGCACATACAGTCACTTGGATTCTCCATGATAAAAATTTATTGTCTAAAATTTATTGTCTATTAGGGAAAATATGTATCTTTTGTATAAAGTTTTGAATTGATGGAATATATTTTCAAGGTTCTCAGCATTTGTATATCCCTTTTTTGGACCTTCAAAAAAACAAAGTAAGCTGTTTGATCTGTCTCATCTCTAAAGGGATTAATGGCTCAACAGGGAGTTGCTTAGCTCCTTTGCTTTCTTTTGAGCTTTTAGGATACTTTGTAAATTCTCTAGCACATCTTTTGTCACTGTAGCACCATGGTTAAAAGTTTGGATTCTGCAACCTGACTTTGTGGGTTCTAATCCAACTCGACCACTAACTAATGTATGAGTTTTGAAAACAGAACCTCTCTGAATCTGTTTCTTCATCTGTATTAGGGAAATAATAGTACCAGCTTCTTAGGGCTGAGGATTAAATGAGATGTGCTCAGTTAGTGCAAAGTCTAGCACATACGAGGCACTAAATAAATTGTAGCAAACAGGAGTTAGTAGTGCAGTATTTCTGTTTGTGTCCTGGTCTTAACCTCTTTGGAAACTAAATGCCTCAAAGGCAATAGTTAACTTTCCTCATAACAGAGGTCCTAACCCAGTGCCCTATTGTCTCGCTACTCAAAGTGTGGTTTGCAGCCACCTGGGAGCTGTTACGCACACAGAATCCGAGGGCCTACCCTAGACCTATGGAATCAGTGTCTGCATTTTAGCAAGGTCCTACCTTGCTCTTGATTTATTGAATTCAGTTGCTGAAGCTGGTATTTTAATTATTCAAGTAATTCCCTCCAGGAAAATAGATATTTAGTTCTGTAGAATCGATATTGCCATTAGGTAACTGACCTTGATTAGCAAGGATTCTTTAAACCCTTGGTCATCAAAGTGGGATCGCTGAACCAACAGCATCAGAGTCATTTGGGAATTTGTTAAAAATGCAAATTTTCAGGAGATTCAACTACATCCTATAGGTTGAGAATAACTTTTTTGGAACATTGGGGAGGGCCAGAAGTACCAAATTAAAAATGTGCGTCTCCTTCTTCCTGCTTTGTTGTTTCATTTCTTCTGTCCCATTTCTTAAGCGGGAAGTAGGGTCAAATACTGTGGAGTATTGAGTTTCCTTTCCATATTTTCTGGATGTTTGTTGGTGCAAATATACATCGTAATATCTGCCTGGCAGACCTGAGTATGTCAAATACCTGTTCTGGGGTATGGAACACGCAGCTTATGTGAGTTATCTCAGTCCCTGTGTTTTGCTTTCTTTTTGTTTTATTTTGTTAATTTTATTCATTTTTTGAATAGGTGATAGATGCACATGGTATAAAATTTCCAAAGTACAAGAGTTTATGGTGAAAAGTAAGTTTCCCTCCCTTCCCTCACTTCATAATATAACAGCCATCTCCAAAGGCAATCACTGGACTTTCTTGCACACATTGATTGAGCAGCTGCTATGTGCCAGGTGCTGTTCTGGGCAGTGGACATGGAACAAAACAGACAAGAATCCCTGTCATCAGTTTACATTTTGGTTCCCAATTTCTTGAAATATTTTTTCAATAGCACAACATAATGCAGTAATTAAAAGTAAGGTTCTGTAGTTAAGTCAACTGATTTTGAATTCAGTTTTTCCCATATTCTAAGTGATGCTGGCTTATTTACCATTGTGAACTGGGTTTTCTTTTATCTTGAAATGGAGATAACAATTCTGTTTTTTAACATTATTATCAATACTGCCATTAGGTAACTGAGAATTAGGTAATTGTGAGAATTACTTCAAGTAATACTTATAAAGCACCAAACAGTGCCTAGAACATAGTAAATGCTCAATAAATATTAGTATTGATTGTAATGATGTGATCTCATTCTACTAGTCTATAATGTAAGCTATAAATGGTTGAAGGTTTTCACTTCCTCTCTGCTGTGTGATAATCAAAAAAATCACTTTTTTCAGAACAAGCACAGTTAATTTAATTCTTCTAAATTCTGATCATTAACTGCTTGTCTGTAAGATGATTTGCTGAGTTCTATTAAGAAACCAACTCCTAATAAATCACTAATGTGTAATCTGTTCCTCTTTATTCTTTCTAATCTAGTTTTTCTTTTTTTTAAAATCCTGTGTAATTTTGAAGATTTCCATTAATTCACCTGGAGGTGTTTTATTAATTTCAGCTTTATAATGTTATAAAATACATAACTTGGGGAGATTCTACATTTCACAGCAGAGGAATTAAGCACTCTGGGCAAAGTTTCTGGCAATATAATATGGCATAGTTACCTTAAGGAACTTTCTTTACGATTCTAGTCTCCAGCCAGATGGGAAAACAGCTCTCAACTCCTGGAAAAGCAACAAAAGTATTCCTTGATTATGGCCTAAAGGGGGAGACAATTAGAAAAAACTACACACAAGGAAAAAAGGAAAGAAAAGAACTCCTAGAGCATGAAAACACTTTTAGATATTAGGCCAAGAACTGTTTCCTTTATTCAGCATAAGAAGAATTATTAGTGGGCATAATGTAAGGTTGCAAGAAAGTTGGTTCAGGTATATTCCACCATGCACTGACATAGACCCTTGACTTAGAATCTAAAAAAGAATGAAGGTACACCTTTTTGACCAACCATAGTCCTGATAATCATGTAATATGTTCTCTGTCTTTCTCTCCTTTATTCCTGATTCTATTTTGTATTATTTCCTGGTAGACTAAGTGTATAGATCTTTGAAAGGTTGACTGTGGTACAGGAAACCTCTTCTCCTAACTTAGGCATGATAGGAGGACTAAGAAGAGGGAATAGTTGGGAAATTAAGTGAAATGCCTCTGAATGGCTTTTACTATTTAGTTAGTAATGGAATCAAGGTAGATTTGGGGTGTTTTGTGTTGTCCTGTAAACTTTTCCAGTCTCTGGTATTTTATTGTCAGTAATGGGTTAACAATAATAACAGTACATCAGTACTCATTATTTTGAAAGGCATAAAGTCAATACTAAATAGATGAGGCCTCTTCTAGTGGCATTAACCAGTGTACTTCTACTGGACTTTTGTCTATACTAATCATATAATGCACTATGGAACTAACTATAATTTATTCGGAATGCATTAGGCATCTGTTGTGTGACCTCTTTGACTTACCTTTGAACCTTGTCCTTTTTCATTCCTTTCTGTTTCCACTACTTATTATACCCACTTCTGAACTCAGTGGTGTAATTTATTGCCATCATCTCCCATGGTTGTGTGAGTTAACTGGGCTCAGCGGAGTTCTTGAGCTCTTTCATGAGATTACAGTTAGATGGCAGTGGAGGCGGAAGTAACGTCAGGATGTTCCTTGTGGCTCTTCATTCAAAGGGCTGTTGCCTCCACTAGAATGTCTGGAACAGCCAAGGACTGACTAGGATTCTCGCTCTTTCCATGCCACCTCTCCATATAACTACCTGGACTTTCTTTACAGCACGGTGGTCTCATGGTAGTGAAATTTCTTAACAGTGGAATTGGCTTCCCCCAAACAAGTGTTCCAAAGAGACTTAGGCAGAAACAGCAAAGTTTCTTTAAAATCAAACTCAAAAATCATGCAAAATCACTTCCCCTGTATTTTATTGTTCAAAAATTGAGCCACCCAGATTCAAGTAAGGGTAGTTCATTGGGCCATGAATACAAGGAAACGTGGTTCACTGGAAAGGGCAGCAACGACATGTTTAAACACTAGATACCACACCCTCTTTGCCAGAAAATAGCCAAGTTTACCTATAATACAACTGTTAAGCGACTGTGTGAAATACTAGGAAACATAAACCCACACAAGTACTTCTTAGGAAGTGAAAATTTGTGGTTCTTGGTTATATATATATGTTTATACATTTTTTTGACTTAATATATCTGATGTATGAGTGTTGTAATTCATAGAATTTCCTTTATTGGCTTACACAATTTGTACCTGTTGGTCAGAAGCTTCTACTAATCAGATCTTTTTGGATTATAGAATGGTTTAAAGGCAGTTCACAAGTGACTCGGTGTAATTCACCTAATAGTAGTGTGATGTGCTATACAATAATTATAGAATATTTTGTTTATTGAAAGGAAAATGAGTTTTCTTATTATCATTCATTCATTCAATCAGCAAATATTTGTCGAGTGATGAACCAGGCTCTGGCTTAGGCCAGGGAGAGCAGGGACATGCCACTGTGGTTGCATTTTTGCTCTTACAAGTATCAGTAGTAACAAATTTAAATGCTAACTATATGAGTTTATTTTGGGGCACTGAAAGTTGTGTTACAAACTAAAAATACCAGTTAGTGCTAATTGAGCCCTTACGTTGTGCATTATTTTATTTAATTACCCCAAAGAGATCTTAGGATAGAGGCAGGGTTACTATCCCAGTTTTGTAGAGGTTTAAATTGTGACTTAGAGTAAACGTTGTTCCAAAGGTCACCTTATCAGTAGAAGATGAAGCTTGGATTTGAATCCAGAGTACCTACTATGCAAAAACTGCATTAGAATAATATCGTTGCTTTTATTTCTAAATTCTGTGCCTTTTAAGAAGTGTTTTGACCATTCTGAAGTGATAAATACCTAATTATTTAATGTCATAAGGCTGTTTTTATTAGTCTTTGGCCAAATGTATTGACAGCTCCCACTCCCATCCCAACTCCAAGATTCTTTTGGTTTCAGTGACCATTTCTTAAGTCTAAGAAGGATGGGTAAAGAATAGAAACTTAATTTTATTGGCATTTTGCTGTATATCAGTCATCAGGCTTGACATGCCAAAAAGAGTGCTAAGTTGCTGTGGCATGTAGGTAGGAGGAAAAGCACACCACCACCTTCTCCCTTAGTTAAAGCAATCATGAATTCCAAAAGTATTTATGGGGCACTTACAATAGGCCAGGCCCAGAAAAAAATTGGTTCCTAATCTAGGGCATCTCACTATCCAGCGGGAGAAACTAAGCAGATGTTTTTACTGGCAGTTCACTCAGATAAGGGAAGCTCATGTGAGGAACACCTAACAAGACAGTGAGTCCAAGCTGGGAGGAGTCCTGGAGAGAGTCAGATTGGAGAAATCACTCGGGTGAAGAAGAGGGGTAAAGGTTTCATCAGGAGAGTGCACCCTGTGTAATGGTTCAAAGTCTAAGGAGTTTCAGGAATTCTGGGGACAGAAACAATTCTGTATAACAGAAGGGTAGGATGTGTGTCAAGAACAGTGGCCAGAGAGAGGCTGACCAAGATGTCAGGAAGGAACCTTCTCAGTGCAGTCCTTGCAAGAAAGTTTGAGTGACAACCATCATTGAGTAAGGCTTTGCTCAGTAATTTGGAATTTAAGTGCAGGTACGGAAAACAGGTTAAGGTTCAGGTATTTTCTCCGTTTTAACCATGACCTCCCCTTACATTCTTTACAGAGTTGGAAATCCCTGTTTTGCTTGGGAATATTTTTTAATATGCACAAAGCATTATAAATGGCTCCCTGTCTATGTCTGCATGTTTACAATGTTGATTATGGCCTGCTGGTCAAATTAAAGCACCAGGCATCATATCATCTTAATATGAAATGAATCGTTTATTTATTCACCTATTTACACATTTATCCAGGAAAAACAAATCTGTTTCCCACTTTATCAGTTCTACAGATTCAAATTCTGTGTATTTAGGTAACACTCGAAGAGAGAGATGCACCATCCTGAAAGAGTGCCTCACACCACTTCCAGCAGTACAGTTTCAAAACCCTTTACTTACTTTCTAGCCTTATTCTCTGGCTATTCTGAGAAAAAAGCAATTGCAATTGCCCCTCCAGCGTAGCCAGATGGAAGATGCAGAAGTCTCACTAGTTTTTCCTCCCCTGCCAATATANCTCTCTCTCTCTCTCCAGGGACCTCAGAAAGCGGGAGAACCAGGTCCTCGGAGTGTGTTAAAGCCCTGAAAGAACTTGTCCCCAAAACGAAACAGACATCCCCTCGCCTTTGTCAGCTGGTCTCACTTCTCCTTTCCTCCAACAACCCTTAATAAAAAGCAGCAGAGGTCAGTGTATTCTCCAGCGCTTCTTGGAGAGTCAGAGAATCTCTGCGGCTTCCCTCTGCCCCACAGTTTCACTACCTCAGCTCTAGGGCAGGCCCTCGCTCACTCCTTTCCCCCCTCCTTCCACCTGACAGGGACCATAAATAACCAAGGCTCCCGTGTTCCCAGCAGAGAACAAAGTTGAAAGTTTGCCTGGAGCTCCTGCCACTCCCCGCCTTGGCCACCTCTTTGTTTTCTCCTCCTGTTTTTTTCTCTACCTGCGCTGGCCGTTTCTTCATTCCTGTTGGAGAAGAGGCGCCTCCTAATTAGGCGCAGCTCCTCGCCCTCTTGCTCTCCCTAGGTTTAAGGCCGGCTGAGTTACCCGGGTGGGCGCCGAGCCCTGGTATCAGGTTACCGAAAGTCTACCCTGGAGCAGCCCCGATATTTACATACAAATAACTCAAGGGCTTGCATTTCTGTCACCATTCGGTCCTGCTAGAGGCTGTCAGAAGAGTTTTCAATCCAATCAGAAGGAGTTTTAAAAGGATGTCTGCGGAGTGATCAAAAGTATCTTCATCTCAAGTCGCCAGTTTGTGTTCCCTTCTTTTTTTTTGGTCCGAAATATTGAAGGTCCTTGATGAGTAGGAAAAGATGTGTGACTCCCCAGCCGCCTGCGAGGAGCCGGAGATGCTGAGAGGAGCTTGGCGGTGGTGGTGAAGAGGTGGATACCACCCAGGGATTGGCGTGTTTGGGCTGATTTGGAGGTAGTTGCTAAATCACTGCTTAAGGAATTCCTGGAAACATCAGGAAAATATTTGATCAGCCCCGCCTGCTGGAAATGGCTGTCCCACAGAGTAAGATCTTTCCTTAAGTTATACTTGGTGTGTGCTGTTTTTGTTTCACAGGCAGTGGATGTGCAAATAGCCCAGCTGTAAATAGTTACTTAAAATAATCTCTTGGTACTGGGTAGCTGTAGACAGTTAATCTGTTTAGTTTTTACATTTGCAAAAACAGTAGTTGACAGTGTATTTTTAGACGATTGGTAGTTTTAAAGTTGAGGTCTTGTGGTTTCCTGTGTTTAAATGAATGGAAATTATAAATGGTACTGAATGAAGGAATTGTAAAGTATAGCTGGAGTGGATGAATCACTTACCTTTGAGAAAACATAACATACACACTTTTGAAATCTTTCTCGGCCAGCCGAGCTTGTGTCCAGAAAGAGAATGAGAGTGATGCAAAGGAGACAAGTTTGCCTGTTTGCAAAAGGAACTTTTCCACAGTCTGTGCTACATGTTGAGAACGATGGGAAACATCCCAGAGGGCAAAAGGCAGCTAAGAAACCTGCCCTGTCACTTTTGGAATGTGGTTTTTCCGTGTGAGGTCATGTTATACATATGTAGCTAGTAAAAGTATTTTACATAATTAACTCTGTATTGATGGGTAAAGAGCAATTTATAGTCCTTCCAAACTGCTGACCTCATTTGATCTCTGTAGAAGGTAAAGCTCATTTCCAAAGTGGGTTTGCGCGGGGGTGGGGGTGGGGGCAGCTGGACTTAGTTGTTAATTTGATAGGCTTAGAAATAGTTCAAAACTGTTGTGTTTCAAGGTTCCCCAGTCAAGCAGAGTTCAGGTTAAATTTTTTGCTAGTTTTTTACATAAGCTCCAAACTGAAATCCTGTGTGTGAGGACCATTAAACAAAAAATCTCTTCCCTTCCCCCACGTAAAATTTCCAGAACAGTAACGAAGAGGTGGCTTTTATTTTGTAGCCCATGTCCATTCAAACAAGCTGCCCTCATCCTGGTGAGGGTTTGAAGGGGAGGAAGTAGATGGGGAAATGTCTTCATTTCTTAACATTGGTATTTAACACTTGGAGCTCTTCTACTAAATTCCCTCTTCAAATTATGAACTAACCTCTGCCTATACTATTAACTTATAAACCTTATCCAGGAGACTAGGGGAAGATGAATATGAGAAAATGGGTGATTTGCTGATGACCAGAGGAGTGGTTTTCTCCACGAGGGACACCTTTTCAAAAGGGAAGCTTCTGATTTGGGCGTGCTCTGTACCTCCACAGGTGAAGACGCAATGACCGGGGACACTGACAAATATCTTGGGCCACAGGACCTTAAGGAGCTGGGAGATGATTCTCTGCCTGCAGAAGGCTATATGGGCTTCAGTCTTGGGGCTCGTTCTGCCAGGTATTTTTACTGTTGCTGTTTTTTCATAGTTCATTTCAAGCAACCATGATTTGTCATAAACCAAAATCGTTTTCATCGTTCACATTATCTCCAAGTGTGCTCTGGGAATGAGGATGTGAATTTGGTGAAATGTTCTTATCTCCAGTGTACATGCTCCACTATTGTCTCTCGTGGTTTTCAGTCCTTAATTTTATGTGATTGGAAGTATTAATCGTCTGTTCTTCTTTTCCCACCTTGAAGTCATGCTCCTTTCCAAGCAGTCATGCTTCAAGCATAGTAGCAAAAGAGTTCACTGGCAAAACTGGGAGAACCAATCTGGGTTGCATGTTTCAAAATTAAATTTGTTTTATATTGAATGAAAGATTTTATTTTCCAGTAAATTAGAAATATTTGTGTTGATTATTCACTGTTCTCTCTTGCTGAAGACTAATTCATGATTGAGACTTAAAAGAGAGCACTCATGTAAAAATAATTACATATTATTTATTAGAATTGTCTACCAAGTGTTTGAGTATCTCTTCTAAAACTATGCCAGGAGTTTGTTTACAAGGGGCATGTTAGGAGTGTAATAAACATTAAAAAAAAAAAAAAGCCACATGCAGGAATGATAGCAAATTCAGGCCTAACCCGATACTTAGAACTTTTATGTGTGGAAAACCTTGGTTCGAACTTACCTGACACTGATTGAAAGAAACAGGACCTTGTCCAGAATTTGGGAACTTCTTTACCCTGGTTGGATTAACAGCATGTTTGCTGACAGTCAGTTATTTTAAAGCTAATAATTAAACCTTCTAAGCCATAGCCCTGGGGACATTTTCCTATAGTTTAAGAATCTGTTGTAAAAAGTTTCATTGTTTAATAGTGAATGGCACTTCCCACAAAGTAAACCTGGGAGTTGTTCTCAGTGTCCTTGATGTGACCAGTTTAGATACTGAATCGATTTTTCTTCATGCTGGTCTTTTTTTTTTTTTTTAATAGTATTGGGAATCTCATGCAACTCAGAAGAATGTTTGCATTATGAATGCATTTATAAAAGGTCTTAAAGATCTTACTGTAGCAGTGTCCTTAAGAAAAGGAAAATAACTTTTAAAAATATGTAATATTCAAATAATTACAGAGCAACAAGTTACAGCTGAATATATACAGAATCTTAAAGGATCTAAAAAATTCTGTGTAGAAACTTAATGGCTTTTGTAATCCAGTAATGAGCTGATTCTCTTCCTCAGATAATATATAAAAGATGCATTTTATGACTCAGTCATTTATATATAGAAAACTCTTAGCAGCTGACAGACATCCAGTGAGAGCTGAAACCAGCATATTGTCTCGTATCATTTTTTTTTTTCCAAGGCAGTGCTAAGCTTTCACACTTCTGGGTTTGACTGCACCAGTATTGTCTGCTGCTATTATATGTGACTCATTTTTTTAACATTGGCAACTCATGTTATGCTCAGAGGCAAATACTTTTAAAATCTGTCAAGCCAATGTATTTTTTTAAAGCTCTGATAGAGTATCACAGATATAATATTCTGAGTGTAACATTTAAAAAGGAATACATTAAATGTGTAACTCATTCAACCATAACATCTTTTTCTTTTTTCCCTGTCTGATCTTGTTGCTTTCCACTTCTCCTGTTTTTCCCTAAAAATACTTAAAATAGTCCCAAGATCAGGTAAGAATTATGGCACTTTTGCAGTGTTTCTCTGCCCTTTCGTGACTCATTTTCTCATTTTTGTTTTCTAAAGCATTGGACTGTGTTGTGTGCTGCATTGCGCTTTTTTTTTTTTTCTGCTCAGCTTCAGAAAATCAAGTTTTGTGATTCTGAGAAAATTACCAAGTAACTAAATGTATAAGAATTTACTTATGCAAAAAATTGACTGAATACTTAAGGAATTTGTTTCCCTTAACAAAATTTGTATAGTGCATGAAGTAACTAGAGAAATCTCATGGGTTTAAAGAAAAAGTCTTGACTTGAAGGCTGTTTTCTGGTTGCTGTTTTATTTGAGTTGTGGTAGTTACGTTAGTATACGTTAGTATAATGAGGCATGTGTAACACTTCCTGTATTTAACACTTAGGGTATAGTGATGGCTACAAATAATATAGTTGACCTTAGTTAAAAACAATCAGATGCTTTCCACACCCCCATGCAAATTATCCCTAATTTTAGTAGCCAAAAGTACTTCAATGGATTAAAGATTCAGAATGAAGCTTGATGGATCTAATGGGCTCCATCTGTTGAGTTTAAGTTGGTCTGGAATGATCAGGAGTAAGAACTTTAAACATTATGTAAAATGAAGTCATCTTTAGGCTTTTCCATTAAGAGCTACCAATTCTAGGCTCTGTTCTTTAGTTGGCATTCATGTACAAGTTAAAAGAAAACAGAATATTTAAAAAAAATCAACAAATCTTAGATATATTTAAAAACAAGTTAAAATAAATATGTAATAATTCTTTTAAACTTTTAAGTCTTTGTTCACATATACAATAAAACTGTTCGCATGTACCACTGATGTTAACATATACCATGCAAGCCATAATTTAAAGAAACAAATGTCCAGGGAGAGAACGGAAGTTCCCAGTGCCTCTCAAATCAATTGGGCAAAATGGAACCTTGCTACAGAAGCTTAGAAGTGGCACTAATAGTATAGCCCCTAGCCACATAAGACTATTTAATGGGTTAAAATTAAGTAAACTTAAATTAAGTAAACTTAAATTCAGCTCTTTAGTCACAGTATCCTCATTTCAGGTCCTCAGTAGCCACATGTGGCCAGTGGCCACTAAATTGGACAGTGCAGACTTAGAATATGTCCATCATTACGAAAAGTTCTGTTGGGCAGAGTAGAAAGAGAATTGCTGTTTTTAGGACACAATAAGCTTATGTTGCATTTGAGAGAAGGTAAGGGGCTGAAAACAGGAGTAAGAGAAAACAATGGTTGCAACCAAGACAGGAGGGGAAAAAAGCAAGGGTTCTGGATCCTATGATTGTGCGTGGAAGGCCTGACTGTGCAAGGGTGAGAGGCACGTGGCTTACTAGGTACGCTCCTCTGTGCAGGCACATGATTCCTTTTTCTTTCTTTCTGTTTCTATATCTAGTCTCTAATATTGTGCCTTGCTCATAATACTAAGTAAATATTTGCTGAATACACTAATAATGACTGTAGAATGGTCTTTTTGGGTTCATAGATGCCCCTGAGATTCTGGTGAAAGCCACCGTCTAGAGAGCATTCCTGCCCATGTGTGTAGGTGCTGAGAATAACCCCTGTGATTCAGGGGCCTCTGTATCTTGGTATGAAAGTTCCCACTGTTGAGTCATCTTCAGTAGACACTGGGGAAGAGAAACTGGGGCAAAGTAAAAAACACTCCTGATTTCCCTCTTCTTTGCCCTCTTCTCTGTCCAGCACACACAAAGCCAAAGTCTGATGCTGCTGGATTCTAGCAGCGACTTTTAGTTCACAGTTTATTATTTTACCCTATGTAATGGCAGGTGCTAACTTTCCATGGTACTTGTCCCCCACAACCCACCCTTCCCCCAAAAAGTGACACAAAACAGAAGGACCCATCTACCAGACTCGTGGGCTGCCCCACCACTGTGGAGCCCAGTCTAGACCACAGCTTTGACGTTTCACGTTCTGCAGTTCTCGTCCAAGGAGGGTGGAGTAGGAAGCCTCCTTTGTAAAAGGGGGCCAAGCCAAGCCGCTGTAGGACAGCTGGCCCTGGCAGGGGGGATGGCCCCAAAGCAGCTCCTCACAAGCCCCCATCCTCTGTGTCCTTGGAGGCGCGATCACAAGGCAGCCTGCCAAGGCTCCGATCATCCGCAGTCCCTCGTGGGTGCTTGCAGGGTTCCCAGGGTCCCTTACTCTACTGGGTTTATTTTTTTTGAGACGTAATTGACATATTATATTAGTTTCAAGTATTTAATATAACAATCCAATATATCTATATACTGCAAAATCATCACAATAAATCTAGCGACCATCACCACACAGTTACAAATATTTTTTCCTGTGATAAGAACTTGTAACTCTCTTAGCAACTTCCAAATATGCAATCCAGTATTATTAACTACAGTCACTATGCTGTACATTACAGTTTATTTTATAACTGAAGGTTTGTACCTTTGGACCCCTTGAACCCATTTCGCCTACCCCTGGACACCCTATAGGTTTTTAGTTGAGAGGTCAGTGTGGTGAGTGGCGCTTCAGGAGGCTTATAATCTGGGAACTTCAGGGTCTCTGTAGAGGATTTGGGAGAGGCTAGAAAGAGCAAGGAAGGACAAAAGGACACAAAACAAAAAGGACACATGGAATTTGAATTTTTCAAGCCAAGAAAGGTGGCAAAGATCATGGAAGCTGCAGTCATAACACTACTTCCTTGCTCATGTTTCCCACGAGTGACAACTCTAACCAGAGCTCTCAGTAGGTCAAACCCATATCTAGTTCCCAAAGACTATAACAGACCCATTTATAGCACACACATAATTCTGTTTGATAGTGTGAGCTTGACAGACAAGGACCAGAAAGAGACTATTAACATAAGGTCTTACCATAGGAAAATCTCTCAAATTATCAAATTATCTGGAGTCTCTGGTTCTTCACAATTGTTACATTGGTTCAGCTGTTACACTGAAACATACATAGCTTTCATGCATTTCATCTTCTCACAGATTTAACACCAATTGGCCTAAATTTTAAATGAAACCAGATCATGAGATTGTCTAAGTTTAAGAGATCTTCTCAAATATAAGGGATTTTATTTTTGATGATACGTTCTTGAAAACAACTTTTGTTGATATTTTTAGCCATATTGCCTGTTCTTAAAGTTGCATGCATTAATTTTCTTTTGTTCATCTCATCATCATTCACCACTCTTGAATGGTTAACTGTAAATACAACAGCCTCCGCTCCTTCAGTTCGGATAGGTCTTACACCTTGAACAGAAGCTCCTACGCCCGGGACAGCATGATGATCGAGGAACTCCTTGTGCCATCTAAAGAGCAGGTATGTATTCTTTTTCAAATACTCCTCAGTTGTCAAACTTGCATTTGTTTGATTTTGCATTTGTAAATCTTCTTGTACTACCAGTTGAGAAAAAAAGAAGTTGTACCGTAAGCCCCATAAACCATAGCCCTTTCTGCTGCTGGAAGGTGCCTAAAAACCCAGAGAGGAATGCAGGAAGGCCTCACAAAGGCATGGATACCTTTCTCATCTCTTGGTCAAATCAATTTCAATTTTTAAAAATAATAATTGGTTGCTGACATCATCCAAATGAATGTTTGATTTTGCTCAACAAACTATGCGTGTTGGAAATTGCTAGAACTGTTCATAGGAAGTAAAGATTAGATTGATCATGTGTTTGATCCCTTAGTTTCAGAGCTGCCTGTGATGGGCCTTCTCAAGATGTGATAAAATATTGTTTTCTGCCATGATGTCTGGGTTCATTTGCTGTTCGTGCAATTTCTTTCAATGATTGTGGTTGAATAGATACTGGCTAAATATAAGAAGTTCCAGGAACATAGTCCTGTTGCACATAGGCTCAGGATGGTTCATTATACTAGATAAATACAATACCTGGTTTTAAATATGCACAATTATGAGTTGATGATAGATGAAACTGTTTGGACCAAAAGACTAATTTTGAAGGTGGCTTAGGATATTTAAATAGTGTAAATAATTGATGAAATCATCATGGACCTATTTATTCATTGCACAATCAAGGTAAATTGGAGCAGATGAATAAGTGATTGTCTCTTTTCAGTAATCACCAAGTTAGAGCTTAAGCTGGTTGGGAGTCAGAGCTTTAGGACTCCCACATGTCTGGAGGTGCTGACTTTCAGACATAAAGGTGTACATTGAACTTCACAAGGACCTAAAATAAATATTTTACTACCTTATGTTCTCTAGAACATTCTTAGCAATCAGGGCTTACAGAGGTGAATACAGTGTCTATTCAGCGTTTGGCTGGACAAAAAGCCCTTTGTAGAATGATTATAGGTACGAGAGCATGTCGTGGTCTATGTGGGTGATATTAGCCCTTGTCTCCAGTGACACAGCTCAGTTCTGTGCTGTAAGCTGTTGGCCAGGTGTTGGTTGAGATTTTTCTGAAGAGCTCTCTGCTTGGCTTGCTGTGGTCATTATCCTGGTCAGACAGTCCTGATCTCTTCATGTCCCCAGTTGAAATGAAATATTAGGGGTTATATTGATAGCACAAATATAGAAATGCCTGCTATTCTCCATACCCTAAGGAACCCCCCCCCACCCCCGAACTGCCAAAATCGCAGGTGTAAGGAGATTCCTTGCATATCTGGGACACTTTGCTCATATATAAAACATGTGCCTAGTTCTATAATGGAATAGCAAATTATTGATTGAACCTAGCTATGGTTTATATTTCTGAATATATGTACTTTCGTGGGGCCTGAAATTGGGCCCACCACCATCATCATTGTGACTCACCACCACGACTGCATCACTGCCACCATTTCCTCCACCACTGTCAGCACCACTAGTACTGCCATAGTAACACTGCCTCTCAATTTCTGCACATCAACCTTAAAGTGCAATATAAGTGTTTGTGATGCCACAAGGCTGCAAACAGTCTTCTGAGGATTCTCATATCATTACCTGTTAGCAACTACCGAGACCCCCTTACTCAGGTAGAATGGAAGGGCAGTATTTACACAGAATGAAAGATTTATGAAAATAAAAATAAAGGATAAAGAGAACTTCTGAGGTAAAGCTGACTTTCTCTGGTTCAGCATATGGCTGCTTCAATTTCAAAAGCCACTCTGTGGACATCACAGACACTTCTGTAGACCAGTCAGAGGACAGATGAGCTTAGGACACCTTGAAACCTTCACAAATAAACCTTACATTGGTAAATAAAGAAGCAGGAAGTTGCTTTCTTTAACGACCACAGAGAATCCCATGGCCTGGCAGGCATTCCTGTGAAACTCGCATGTTTAATGAGCACATAGCATTACTTACGGCCACACAGTGCCATGATAAATTTACCAGAGATTTGAAAAAATGTGAAAGGCATAAAGACATTTTAAGGACAACTGGGGGAATTTGAAAATGTTAGGAAATTATTTCTGATGTTCTGAGCAGTGATTGAAGTTGTACAGGGGTCTGTCTCTATTCCAGGACACCCTGTGTGCTGAAGCTGTTAGGAATGAGGTAATCAGTAAGTAAGCTATTCGTTATCAAATGGTTCAGACAAAAAAGTCTGTATGTGTGGAGAGAGATGGGGGGTATAGAGGAAGCAACTACAGCAGGATGCTAAATGTTAAATCTAGGTAGGCTGTATAGAGTATTCCTTATACAGTTTTTTCAACTTTTTTATTTATATGAGCACCTTTACAATAAAAACTTGGAGGAAAGGGGAAACAATTCTGAGAGAAGGGTATTAACTTACTTGGTCACTAATGTCTTATTTCTTATAGAAAAGAAAAAAAAATAATTCCTCAAAAGAGGCTTTAAAAGAGAAGAGTCCAGTTAATGTGCAAAACTAATGAAAAGAATTTACTTCAGAAGTACATTTCAACACTTTATTTAAGAATTAAGTGATGAAAAAGGATTAGTTTTGGCTCTTATGCCTCTAAGTCAGTATTTTTAAATTTTGAAGTGGACTTTCTCCACTGTATGGATTTTGTCGGAAAGCATACAAGAAGTTTTAAATATTTGGAATTCCTAAAACAACTGTACATGACTTACTGTTATATTGTAAACTGCCCTGTCATTGCTCTGTTTAAGTAGCTTTGACAAGGAAAGGTGGGAAATAAATAAAAATTAACTTCCCATGTGCTTCCTTTTTCAACAGCAACCCTCACCACACAAAGTAGAGCTGCCCCTTCATTATTCTGCTGCTGACTAATCAGTTTACACATTAACCACAGTTAAAGTACAGTTGAGACACAGGATAATTAGCACAGGCCTGACCCCCACCCACTCTCCTGTGTTCCTGAGAACCTGTGCTGACTGAAGGCAGGTGTGGCAGTCAGTCAGAGCTGGGGAAGGGGGTTGGCAGAGCTAAGCCCATCCCCATTCCTGGCTGGGCCTTAATCATCATCAGCCTGTACACCACCTCGTTCCCTGGAAAATCAAGAATGGACTTGTTCTTACTGTGATACTGGGTTATCCACGAACTCCTTTACCTTATAATCAAGAGTAACTTGCAGATATAGTTCGAAAAATGTATATGTAAATCATGTCTTGCATTTGTCAGAGAAGGCCTTTTGTTGAAAGTGGTGGCCCTCAGCCACTCGTGGGAAGCACCTGGAAGACTACTGAAAAGACTTTCGCCAAGTGCCTGAGACAGTGGGCCTGGGGGGGGCCTGGGCATGGGATTTTTAGTGCCTCCAGAGTTGAAAGCCACTGATTTCTAGTCACAGTTCTTAATTAGGGTCACACATTGAAATCACTGGTGGCTCTTTGGAAAACATGCTTATGGAATTGGCATCTCATCGGCTTGGTTCCTGGGCACGTGTATTTTTTTTGAAGCCCTACAGGTGATTCTGGATGCATATCTAGTTAAGAACCACTGATTTAAAGCAACTCTGGCTGGGATCTTTTTTGTGTATTGATCATCAGCATCTAATATATTTGTGTTATAAGCTCAGGTTTGGGTGTGTCAGGTTGTCTAGAGCAACATCTGTCGTTAGAAACATTCCTTTCCAAGTGGGAAGTAATAAGTGAAGAAAAGGGATGACTCTGAACTGAAGCCTGGTTGTTTAGGGTGAATATGATAGGCTGGTTCTTTCATTTCCTCTGACATAATTCCTGAAAGCAGGTGTTTGGTATGGATTATGTAATTGGCTGTGTACAATCCAAAGCAGCCAGTCCTCATTACATAAAGAGAATCCTAATCAGTAGACACTATAAGCACCAGAAGATTTGGTGGAGCGGTTTATGGTGATGGTGGTGAAAACAGGTCATTTTGAGCTCCTACTATGTGCCAGGCACTCTTCTAGCTGTTTTACCAGTATTAACTCATTTGCATTTCACAAAAATCCTTTGAGATTATTTCTTAGCTCCATTAAAAAGATGAAGAAACTGAGGCACAGACAGGGTAGGTGACTTATTCCAAGGGACACAGCTGGTAAATGGCAGAATCACTGGCCATATGGTTTCGGGTTGTCTCCTTTTAACACCATACTGCACTAGATCCCTGCGTTGCTCAGTGTGAGAAGGAAGCTTGCAGAGGGCCCAAGGATGTTATACTCTGCTCTATGAGACCTCATGCTTGGTAGTGTTCTTAATGTGGGTGTGCCAACATCATCTTTATCCACTTTTTTTTAGCATGAAGGATATTGTATTATACAAGTATTTTTCATTATGCTTTTAATTCTATTAACAAATTCTTATTTAATGTGCTTTAAAAGAAACTGGCAATATGTTCAGCAAAAAGTTAGGGAGAAAATTACTCTAAAAATTGTGACCTATGAAGCATCATTAAAAGAATGAAAATATTTGTCCTTTACATCATATGAGGTACAAGTCATGATAATGCTCTAAAAATATCTGTAAGCTTCCCAGTTAATTATATTTTTTTTGAATGAATAACCCTAGAAGTAGTTTTAAGACCAAAGGATGTATGCTGTAGGCAGAAATGTTTGATTCAGCATGACCTCTGATAGTTATTCAAAGATGGGAGAAAAGCAGAAATCGCTTAGGAAAATGTGTTGTTTCTGCCTGCATACACGCATTCCACTTTCTTCAGATGGCAGTGACAGGATCTGATGGTCTAACCTCCATCCCCCTCCATTTCTCAGTGTTGTTAAGGAGCTGAAATCCCTCCTCTTCTCTGAGTATGGGCCCCAAACCTGCCCATTCAGAGCGTTCCTTTTCCTGATTACAGAGATGACTTTTGCGTGAAATGTAAATCTAAGCTGGTCCAGTGAGACCCAAATTTGAGACTTTGGCCTTTGGAAGTCGCTAAGCTATAAAAGTGATGTCAGCCAAGAGATGCTGGGGTGGAATCCTGAAGACTGGTGATTCCC